GTGTGATCCACCCAGCGTAGGAGGAAATCGACGTGTCGTCCGGCGGGGGTCGCACGACTGCGATGATTCAAAATCTTCCAGGGTTGAAGTGTCGGATCTGCTACAGGGCGGACACTTGGCGCCAGGGTGGGTCGAGCGACGTCGGACGGCTGCGGAGCCACGTAGTGGCGAAGCAAACTGACGTGGAAAGCATCGTGTATTTTCCAGTCGTCCGGGAGGAGAAGTTTCGCTGTGACCGGGGTCAGCATCCGAATGATGCGGAAGGGTCCCACGTAGTGGGGACGCAATTTGCCGGTTGGGGCAGTCGAAGATTCTTCGTGTCCAAGAGGACCATCTGCCCGGTATGGAAGGGTAAGTTCCGTCGATGTCGGTCGGCGTAGCGGCTGGCAGCGGTATTAGCCTTCCGGATAAATTCTGCGGCTTTGTCACGTGCTGCTTGTAGTTCCTGAACAAACTGCTGCGACCTTGGTACCGGATTTTCTGGAGTCGTGGACGAGGGTACCACTGGATCTATCCCCGAATTGAGGTAGAACGGCGACTGATTGGTCGTTGCAGAGGGGACGTTGTTATATGCAAACTCAAGCATGGGAAGCGAATCTTCCCACTTGGTGATGTCGGGGCAGTTCGTGCGGATCAACTGCTCCATCGTTTGATTTGTCCTCTCTGTTTGTCCGTCGGTTTGCGGGTGGTATGACGACGAAAACTGCAGGCGGGTGCCGTACCGTGCCCACGTCTCCTGCCAGAACATCGACGTGAATTTCGGGTCTCGATCGCTGATGATCGCCGAAGGTAACCCGTGCAGGCGTACGACGGTCGCGATGAAAAGCTTCGCTGTTTCTTTGGCCGTGATCGTCGTGCGGCATGGTGCGAAATGCGCCATTTTCGTTAAGCGGTCGACGACGACGAGAACCGAATCGTTGCCACTTGCGCCAGCTGGCAGCCCGGTGACAAAATCCATTGTCACATGTTGCCACGGTCGTTTGGGTGGCTCGAGTGGCTGCAGCAATCCAGCTGGACATTGCCGTGATGACTTCATTGCTTGGCAGGTCGGGCAGGCGGACACGTAGTGCTGCACGTCCGACGCCATTTCGGGCCAGTAGTAATTCTGCTGCAGCAGCTTCAGTGTTTTGTCGACGCCGAAATGCCTGGAGAGATTGGAGTCGTGTACTTCCTGCGTCAGCAATTCTCGTAGGGGTCGGTAGGAAGGTACCCAAACTCGGTTGGTACCGACTTTTAGGTAATAGCTCCCATGTGCTGTGGTGACTCGTTGATGTTGATTGGTCCTGAAAAACCTGTTGGTCTTGTAGCCGTGCTTGAATAGTCCTGCCAATAGCGGGTTGGTTAGAATGGGCGATTAGTACTGCTGCGGTCTGCATCGATGGGAAGGTCAGGGCGTCGGCGATGTTGTTGGCGCCCTTCTTGTAGGTGATGGTGTAGCTGAAATTGGACTCGAGGTAGTCGAGCCACCGAATTTGTCGCGGGTTGAGCTGTGGTTGGCTGCGCATGTACTGTAATGACTTGTGGTCGGTTCGGATGGTGACGTCAGCTCCCGTGAGGTAACAGCGCCAGGTACGAAATGCATGCACGATGGCGAGCATTTCTTTGTCGTGTACAGGGTAGTTGCGCTCGGGCGGCTGCATTTTTCTTGACTCGTACGCGATGGGTTGCAGCCCGTTGCCGAAGTCCTGTAGTAGCACAGCGCCGACGGCGAAATCGCTGGCGTCCGTCACGACCTCGAACGGCCGAGATGGATCTGCCAGGCGAAGTACCGGGGGTGAACTCAAAATTTTCTTCAGCTCATCGAAGGCCAGCTGCTCTCTCTCCCCCCACAAAAATTGCACGCCCTTATGCAGAAGATCGGTTAACGGCCTGGTCACCCCCGCCATATTCGGTACAAAACGGCAGACGTAGTTGACGAAACCGAGGAAACTCTGCAACTCCGTGATGTTCGTGGGCAGTTTCCACTCCGAAATCGCCTTTACTTTACGAGGGTCAATTTTAATACCCTCCCCTGAAACCACGTGCCCCAGGAACTCCAGCTCCGGCTGTAAGAACTCACACTTAGAGCCTTAGTTATCAGTCGGTTCTGCTGCAAGCGCCGGAACACTTCCTCCAAATCCTGTAAATGCTGCTCCCGAGTCTTGCTGTACACCAGGATGTCGTCCAGGTAAACTATCACTTTTTTGTCCAGCATGTCCCGAAACACCCCATTCATGGTGAGCTGGAACGTCGAGGGCGCGTTTGTCAGACCGAACGGCATCACTGTGTATTCGTAACAGCCGTAGCGGGTGCGAAACGCAGTCTTCGGGCAATCGTCGGCGAACACGCGAATCTGATGGTAGCCACCTCGCAAATCGATTTTCGAGAAGAAGCGAGCCCCGCGAAGCTGATCCAGCAGGTCGTCCGCTCGCGGAATCGGGTAACGCGACTTGATGGTGATCCGATTCAGCGCTCGATAGTCGATACACATGCGCAGGCCTCCGTCTTTCTTCGGTGTGAACAGTATCGGGGCGGATAAAACCCTTCGAAAGCAGATAATCCAGCTGTTTCCGCAACTCGTCGAGCTCCGGTTGGCTGAGCCGCCACTGTGACCGAACAGTTGGTTTTGCGCCTGGCTCCAGTTCGATCTTGTGGTCCTCCGGACGCTGAGGTGGCAGCCCGTCAGGTAGGTCATCCGCGAAAATTTCGGGATACCTCCGAATTATGCTCGCCACGTCGTCGGGTACAGCAGCGCAGAGCGTGTCAATGTCGGCGATTTTCTCGGACGCCACCACCTCGTACAGCTGTACGGCGTAGCCTTGCGCTCCCTATTTTATCGCCCGCTTCAGCGTGATTGCGTTGACACGTGTTGTCATCGGCTCCGGCTCCGCCCATTTCGGAAGTGTCACGCGCCCCTTGTTGCACAGCACCGTGATCGCTCCCGTCGTCCAGTCGATCGTCGGATTGAATCGATGTAGCCAATCCCGTCCCAGCAGAACATCGCAACCATCCAGTGTTGTCGCCAGCATTCGCATCGAAAACCCGAAATCGTCGCCACACTTCATCCGAATTTGTCGGACCTCGTCCTTGATCGCCAGCGGTGTCCCGTCCACCAGTCGCGCGTCAATCTCGGGCAGACACCTGTCCAGCCTGACCCAATTTTTTTGGCCGTTGCCAGGTTGACGAGACTGTGGCTCGCCCCACCGTCAACGAATAATTTTATTTTATACCTGTTAACCCTCCCCACGACCAGCACAGGGTGATCCACGTGTTCATCCACCTTATTCATCCAGTTGCGGTCGATAGCCCGTATCGGTACCACTACTCGGTGTGGATGTTGATTGCCGGGCGACGGGGTCTCGTCAGTAGGTGGCCCGACTGCTACTGACTCGTCTCTTTTCCCGACCCCTCTCCGTCGTTCCTGTTTCCCTGTTTCAGCTGCGGGCAGTCCTTCCTCCAGTGGCCCGGTTGGTGGCAGTTGAAGCACGTGTTAGGTCCACGTCTAGGCGCCTCCACACCGTTGATTGTGGGCTGGCGCGGCGGTCCACGAAATTGAGTGCCCTCCTGGGAACTCATTTTCGCCCATTGTATCAGCGCGTTCGTTGATTCGGCCACCTGGACGGCATCGAGGAAATCGCGTGGCCTCGCCCGTTGCACCTCGTACTGCACTTCGTACTTGAGGCCCGCGACGTAACGGTCGAGTCGCTCCGCATCGCTCATGTCGTCCACCTGGTCAGCCAGATTGCTGAATGTTGCCGTGTAATCTTGGACCGACGCCACCTGCTTCCAGGTACGCAGCTTCATGCGGGCAGAATCCGAGGCGGATACATGCTCGAATCTGGTCCGCAGCGCGGCGCCCCACTCCGTCCATGTGCGTATCGTGGCCACTCCGAAGATTGAAGTTGCTCCTTGCGTGACAGTTGTCCAGGTCCCGTCGTTCGCACGTGACAGCCCTGCCGGAGTCCCCTCTGTCTGAAGTGTTCGCCTCCACCACTCCAACGCCGGTCCCCGCAACAGTGACATTGCAAAATTAATACGGGTGGCATCGTCAGCAATTTGCGCAGCGTTGAAGAACACCTCCACGCCGAACAACCATGCAGATACAGTGATCGTCTTGTCACTCGGGTTGAACGGGGGTGGGTTTGTTGGTTTTATCTTGACAGTTGTTGAGACTGTTGCTGCTGCATGCATCGGGGGCGCCACTGAGGCCAACGCCAGAGTCGTCGCTGGTGCTTGTCGTGGCATTGACGGCGACTGTTGCCTCCGCGTTGGTTGCTTCTGTTGTTGCTGTCGTGGCGTTTCCCTTGCTTGTTGCTGCCGGGCTGCCCACTCGTCTTCAGCGTCCTGTTCGGCATCCAGCTCGTTGAACACGTTTTCGTTGAGCGAGGAGCTGCTACTTGCTTCATCCACGACGGGCGGCTTCTGACGCGCTTCACCTCGCGTCTGGCGTAGCTCGGCGTTTTCCACCCTCAGGCGCTCCAACTCGCCATTCATGGATAGCATGTTGGCCTGCATCGCCCGAAAGTCCTGCACGAAGGCAAGTGAACAAGTGAATACCAAGTGTTATGAGTTGTAAGAATGAAGAGTGCGCAGAATGCAATATCGCGGAAGTGATTACAACTACTGATCAAACAACGAGGCCTAGGCACAATATAGCAAAGCTAGCTAGGCCGAGGTCGCGGAGTCGCGCGAAGGTTGGGTGCAGGTTTGGGGTTGGGAAACCCGAAGGCGACGCGGTTGACGTTCGGAAGGCGAGGTCGTCGGACCGAGCCTGAATTCCGAAAGTTGGAATTGTACGTGTAAAAACAGCCTCAGTAAGGAATTAGCAAAATTCCTTTCAGAGATCTTCCCGACACCTAGCACTCGCTGCTGATTCAAAACTTTTGGGTCGACAAAAGTATACAAAATCCAGCCTATGTGAGATCTACGCCTCTTCGCTCTACATGCAGCATAATACGTAGCTAAGCACATCTCGACTCAACAGCCAGCGCAGATTACCTTCGTTTCCGACACAAACCTAAATGCGTGGGGCAGTTTCTTGATTATAGGGATAAACCAACGTAAGTTCCGCCCTCTCACGCGGCGATCCCGCGTGACCTCCTCTCACGGCCTAGCCTCATCGTCCGTCGTGTCGCCTCACGACGTTGCCTCCTCACGCCACCGTGAACGCGCACGACTCGTCTCAAACTGCCGAACACCCACGATCACAGTCGTGGCCCGATCGCGACTGCCTCGCTACCGCGTTTCCGCACTAGCTACGGCAGCCACACTTGAGTGCGCGAACGACTGCAGAAACGGGAGCTTCCAACCCCTTCCCGCCTCCTCGTCTTCCTTCTCGCCACCCCAATTCGCGTTCCCGCCTCCTCGTTTCCCCTTTCCGCTCCCCAGTACCCCTTCCGGTCACCCCGTTTCCCCTTCCCGCCACCGCAATTCCCATTCCCCCTCTCCGTTTCCCCTTCCCGCCTCTCCGTTTCCCCTTCCCGCTCCCCGTTTCCCCTTCCCACCACCCCGTTTCCCCATTCCGCTCCCCGTTACCCCTCCCCGCCTCCTGATTTCCCCTTCCCGCCTCCCCGTTTCCCCTTCCCGCCTCCCCAATTCCCCTTTCCGCCACTCCTTTTCCCCTTCCCGTCTCCCCATTACCCCTTCCCGCCTCCCCGTTTCCCATTCCCGCTCCCCATTACCCCTTCCCGCCTTCTTGTTAACCCTTCCTGCCTCCCCAATTCCCGTTCCCGCCTCCCGTTCCCCCTTCCCGCTCCCGGTTTCCCCTTCCTGCCTCCCCGTTTACCCGTTCCATTCCCGTTTCCCCGTCCCGCCTTCCCGTTTCCCCGTCCTGCTCCCCGTTTCCCCTTCCCGCTCCCCGTTTCCCCTTCCCACCTCCCCGTTTCCCCCCTCCCGCCTCCCCAATTCCCCTTTCCGCCAACCCGTTTCCCCTTCCCGTCTGCCCATTACCCCTTCCTGCCTCCCCGATTTTCTTTCCCGCTCCCCATTTCCCCTTCCCGCCTCCCTGTTTCCCCTTCCCGCTCCCCATTTCCCCTTCCCACCACCCCGTTTCCCCATCCCGCTCCCCGTTACCCCTCCCCGCCTCCTCATTTCGCCTTCCGCCCCACCGTTTCCCCTTCCCGCCTCCCCAATTCCCCTTTCCGCCACCCCGTTTCCCCTTCCCGTCTCCCCATTACCCCTTCCCGCCTCCCCGTTTCCCTTTCCCGCCTCCCCAATTCCCCTGTAACGCATCCTACTTCTCACCTAATTCCCAAACTAACTAACACTCAAAGCATTCGTCGAGATTGTTCTCGATAGAAATTGTGCTACGAGTGAGTGAAGGTTGGATTGGAAAAGAAAGGTTGGGTTGGAAGGGAAATGTGGATTGGGATTTCCAAACCTCAACCAAGAGGTTTGGGAAACTCCGACCCATCAAAGTTGAGATTTGAAGGTTGGAATTCCAACCAATCAGAAACTGCCAAACAATTGTTACAATCTACTCTATCCTAAACACAACCATTGAATGGTTCTAAGTTGGGTTTTCCAACCCAACACAATTGCCACATAGGCTCCAAGCCTAGGAACCCTCCCACCATGGAAGCCATGGTTGGGAGAGTTCCCTAAGGAGTGTATTGAGGGGGTTTGAGCCTTGCAAGCTCATTCTCAACCTCCCACTCCAACTAACCAATTGGAAATGGGATTGTTTTTCCTAAGTTATTGAGAGCTCTCTCACACAACTCCCTACACAACTTCTTCAAGTGCTTCCCATCAAAGGCTTCAACAAGACTCACACCTTCAAGGCTATTTGGAGGGGTTAGCTAGAGCTACCATCTTGTACCGGGATTATTATTAAAGCCTTGTAGTTTCTACTATAATAGCCTAGGGTGTTACATTGGTATCTAGAGCAAGGTTCTTCCTTGGCTTTGTGTGGCAATTTGCTACTTGGATTATTTTTTTTAGTGGATCCTAGCTTGTGGATCTAGGATTTTATCCAAGGAGCATTGAAGATTTTTAAGAAATTTCAAGATCTACAACTTCTTCTTCAAGATCTACATCAACTCCTACAAGATCTACAAGCTCCAAGCTTCAATCTCTTCAACACACAATTGGAGCTACAAGATCTACAAGGAGTCTCTTCTTCTTCATCAACATTGAGAAGAAATTTGGAGAGATTTATTTCTCGTACCCACCTTTGGTGGAAGACTCTTGATCTACCTTTGGTAGAAGAGTGTACCTTCAGATCTATAAGGACTTGTTGAGGATTATTCTTTTGAGTATATCTTGCTCTATCATTTAGGTGATAGAAAGATTTGGCAAACAAGTCAATCTTAAGAGATTCTGTATTGGATTATTCTATAAGAGTAATTAGATTTCTTAAAGATTAATTTAAAGATTTGTTGAGATCTCCTCTCGTTAACCTGTTTCATGGCTGCTGGTCAAGAGATGGTTGCTGCTAAGGAGGTGCCCGTTGTTGGCAATGAGGGAGATAATGCTGCTGCTGACATTGATCTCAACCTTGAGGACTTCGTGGTTGACATGGAGATCAATGGAAGTGAAGCTGATGCTGAACATGAGGATGAGGCTGGCTCTGACGAGGGTGTCTCCAACGAGAATGAGAATATTGCTGTCAAGCTTCAGACTCAACTCACGGAGCAGAATCTTCTCATTGGAGAGCAGCACTGCCGCATCCAAAGCTTGGAGGCTGATACTGTTAAGCTTCAGGCCTTGATTGAGAAGCTGATCAGGGAGGTGCAGTCGATCCCTAAGGAGAACGACACTTCCAGCCTCATTCAGGACCTACACAACACTCTCCAGTTCGTGCAGGATCAGCTCAAGAAGCAGGAGAAAAGCATCTCTGTGCTTCAGACTCAGTACAGGGAGATCCGGCGTGGCAACCTCTATCAGCCTGCTCCTGCAGCAGAGCGAGTCGCCAATGCCGCTAACAGCAATGCCGCACCTGCTGCTGCACCTCCTGCTGGTCCTCCTCCCTCTGGAGCACGTGCTGAGCCTCCTACTGCAGCAGCAACTGCCTTTGGCTCCTGCCCTTCAGCCCTGCCTCGCTTTGTCCATGGCAAGACCGACGTCGAGACTTGGCTCTCCATTGCGGAGGACTTTATGTCCATCCACGATATGCGTAGCGAGGCTCGCGTGGTCGCTGCAACCCTTGCCTTGGACGACACTGCTGTTACAGGCCAGAGTCCACTTAGGGGTCGCGGATGCCCATGAAACCGCCTAAGTAGAAACTGACGACTTCAAACCGCCTCTGTTCAAAACGCCGTCGAGATCAGCTCCGATAACATACGAGGCTGAAACTTGGACAGCAGTTAGCCTTAGGTGTCTGCTTTCCAACGGTATATTACTTGCTACTATCAGAGGTGTGTGCACTGCGCAGTAAACGAAAACGTAAGCTCGGCTGAAAACGTGTAGTTTCATTGATGCAAGGAAGAGGTGAGTACAACATTGCCTAGGGGACTCATAAGGGGTTGGGGTCATCCTAGGAAATTAGAGAAGGTTGAGCTCTAGGGGAGAAAGGCTAGAGAAGGATGGGGAACGTAGGTCAGCAAAGCCAACCACACATGGATGTTCAGAGCTGTACTCAAGGCTACCAATAGTGAGTCAAGCCAACCATGAGTCAGCTTGTCTTCCCACTTGCACCCTCTTGCAAGCTGCTTCCAGGAAGACCACACTTCTCAAAAGGAGGGTGGTAGAGTCCCACTTGACCACCTGTACTTCTTGTCTCATTCTCTGTCCCTGCACCATTGGCATGACAACAATAAAAAGGTGGCAAGGGAAATGCTGCCAACAGTGCACCATGACTACGGAACAGTAACTTTCGACAGCTGTCACGCAATGCTCCGAAGTTGGATCATTCTGAAACTTGGTGACTAACTGCACAACGGGGCAAAGGACTGCCAGACCGAATTTCAGACCAATCAGAGCTCGGTAGACGAGTCAGCAGCCGAAATGGTGAACTCGGGTGTTACCAAAAAAGAGTAACACACACTTCCGGAATGCCATAAGTCTTGAAACTTAAAATGTTGTCATGCCTTGTTAACTGCTTCAAAAATTCTGAAACTTTGAGGGTTTGATGAAGACATGTTGAAGCACCTCCCCACAAAATTCCAGAAGCTGAGCAGACTTGTAGGCCGAATGGGAGTGCGATGACCGTGCCACTAGTGTGTTGGCACAACAAACTCCCCCTCATCGTGCTCTCATTCATCCCTTAGCTGCTCCCTGAAGCTGCCTCCCTTAGTTGAAGGACATGCCACACAAGGTGGCACAGGTCCAATGCTGATGCTCTGCAAGCCGCTTGGTCAAAAAATCTGCAGGTTGCTTGGTAGTGTTGATGTAGTGCAAGGAGACCGTGCCCTTCTTCACCTCCTTCCTCACCCAATGCCATTTGATATGCATGTGCTTGTTCAGCCCATGGAGCACAGCATTGCGAGCCATTGCAATTGCTCCTTGGCTGTCACAAAACACAGGTGTAGGACCCTCTTGCTCCTGCCCCAACTCCTCAAGCAACCTCCTCATCCAAACCACCTCCTTCACCCCATGAAACAACGCCATGTACTCGCTCTCCGTTGATGAGTGAGCTATCTCCCCTTGCTTCTTAGACTTCCAGCTCACTGGACTCCCTCCAACACAGCATACATAGCCACCATGGGATGTTGCATCACTGATGTCACTTGCCCAGGTAGCATCGGTGAAGCACGAGAGGTACAAGTGTCCACGCCTTGCAGGTGCACCGGTCTTCGTGCTCACCTCCTCCACTCCCTTTTGCTTCAGCTGCCCATGCACTGAATATTGCAGCCCCACCCTTGAGGTTGCCATGCAGTACCTCACCAGCCTCTCTGCTGCATCAAGGTGCTCTTGAAGGGGCCTAGACACCACACGAGCCAGCTGCGAAACCGCGAATGAAATATCGGGGCGAGTGTTGACCGAAGCATACATCAAGCTCCCCACCATTGACTGGAACCGACGCTGCAACTCGGGCTCCAACACCTCACCATCCTCTTCCTCCAGCCCATACCTCTCCCCCATGGCTGCAAGGTACTTGTGTTGGTGAAGCCTCAACCATCCCTTCACCTCGTCCCGCTCCACATGAAGACCAAGGTAATACCCCACTGGTCCAAGGGCCTTGCATTGAAAGGTCTCCTTCAGCTTCCCTTGCACCTCCTTGATCCTCTCCAGGGATGGAGAGAAGAGGAGAATGTCATCGACGTAGACAAGAAGAAACACCTTCTCCTCCTCCCCCTCGGTCATGAAGAGACTCTCGTCGCACCCGCTGACTTTGAAGCCAAGAGCCTCCAACGCCTCCACCAGCCTTGCATACCAGCACCTTGGAGCTTGTTTGAGGCCATAGAGGGCCTTGTTGAGCCTGCAAACACGTCCGCTCCCATCGTCATACCCCTCTGGCTGCTTCATGTAGATCTCCTCATCTACCACGCCATAGAGGAAAGCCGTCTTCACATCCATTTGCTCCACTTTCCAACCACAAACGGCAGCGGCTGCTAGCAACACCCGGAGCGTAGGAGCCTTGGAAACAGGAGCAAACACCTCCTTAAAGTCAACCCCCTCCCTCTGCTGGAAGCCCTTGATCACAAGTCTTGTTTTGCGCCTCTCTAACTTCCCCTCCGCATAAGTTTTTACACGTAATATCCACGTGCAATCCAATGCCTTTCTTCCCGGGGGCAGATCAGTGAGGGTCCATGTTCCATTCTCCATGAGGCTCTGAAACTCATCCTCCCTTGAAGCCAACCAAGCCTCTCGATCATCTCCAGCAAGTGCTTCCTCCATTGAAGCTGGCTCGTGAGGTAAGTTGACACCGAAGCAACAAATCTCCTCCATCTCTCCTTCGACTCCCTTCTCCTCATCATCTTCCTCCTCCTGGACCAGCAATGCCTTAGGACCCCCAAGCCTTTCATACTTGAGGAAATCCCTTGGGTGAGCAGCTCTCTTGGGCCTCTCCTTGGCTGCACCCTCCTTAGCTCCACCGCGGACAGCACCACGCTTCCCTTGGGTTGTTCGCCTTGGTGGAAGTGTAGGGGATGGTGTAGGCTGCTGCACCTCCTCCCCGGCATCACCTCTCTCAGCTACAGGGGCCTCCTCTTGCTGCAACACTCCCTCCACCTCTGCTGCCTCCCCTTCAGCACCTCCCAAGTCATGTGACACCTCCGTTACCTCTGAAGATGAAGACAACTCGATGGGAATGAGGAGTGGTTCATTCGTTCCCACCTCTATTCCAAG